AACGCGGGACAGCAACTCTGAACAATATGTTCTCAAAGTTTTCTGGGTGAAACTCGCTTGCCGCTACCGACCTCTCGTATAGCTGTGTAAACATCTCCCTGGCCAACGTCAATTGTGTACCAGTCTACAACAATCCCTCCGTTTCACCTCTGAACTTTTATGCTCATGTATTTTGGTGGTGTGGTCGCCATGTTGGATCATTTATGGCAAAATTTGCATGTTTTGAGGCAATCTCTTTCCCATAGGTCTTTGCGCTTTACGTAACGCGCATCTAACTGTGCGGAGTTTGGTTTTGAGGTAGTCCAAAACGAGTTTTACGACAAGTCGGCGCTTTGCGACAATATGAGTCGGCAAGTTCCGAACAGAAAACCCATCTGTGGGGACTCGTCGTCGGAGATTTTTTTTTTTTTTTTTTTTTAAGAACAGGCGAAAACTAATGCGCGCGTGAATGTCATCCATAAAATTAAATCGATGTAGCCTAATTCAATGTTATCATAGAGGGATTATGCACAGTCATTTGACCATTGCATCTGTCATTCACTTCCATTTCCTTCAAACTACTACTGTCTCAGAATCACATGCATTTATTCTGACTGAACTTGAATCCTGTTTCTCCAATCCCAAGGATTGCATCAGTACATCATGGGAGACATAATTTGAATGGCCCACCCATTGTTTACAATGTATACATTCCAAATAAGGAATGATTGTATTATTGTATTATTCAAAACAAATAGTATATATTGCAAGTATATATATTTTCACCACATTTCAAAAATCAGGGTTCCATATATTCCAGTTGCATTAGAAAGTTATTATGAGAATTACCTCTGCAACACGTCCATCCAGTAACTATACATGTACTAATACTTGTTTTAACTATATATATATATAAAATCATACACTATTATGTCTAATAATATTATTGTATTTCTTGTTTACCAGGAGCAATATGAGTTTATCCACACCGCTGTAATGGAAGCTATCCTATGTGGAGACACTTCAATATCAGCATCAGATTTCAGGCAGATTTATGGAAAATTACAGATTGTTGATAGAAAGACCAAAAAATCACAACTGCAAGTACAATGGGAGGTTAGTAAATATTGCTGGTTGCTACACACATATGCTATATTTGTTTCAATTTATTAATAATTCAACATAAGTTCAATCATAATAAAATAATAAAAAGAATGCAGACCAATAATATTGATAAAAAGACCAAGTTTTTTTTTATTACACTCATTCATTGGTATGTGTTGAGATCAAATAAATGCATAGTTAGTATGTTGCAAAGAAATCAACTCCATGGGCAAGGTTACAATAATTTTACTATGTTCTAGCAATGCAACAACTTTGCTCAGGCTTTTAATAAAAAATAACTATTTTCTGCCATAATACTAGTATTTCTTGTAAATGTAACAAGACATCATTGAATTGTTTATTCATCTCTAATCGTGTTGCTTTCATTTCTTTAAAACGTGTTAGTTGGTCCACACATGCATGCAAAACTTGTACAACATATATGCTATTATGATTTTTATGAACTAATTTTGTTGAACTAATGTCGTTTTGCAGAATCTTGGCAAAGTAAGTCGTA